GATCTGCCTTGCTCTGCTTCTTCACCGCCGGCTGCTCTTGCCTTGTGAGGGTGAATTGGCTTGGTTTTTGGTAAGAAATAGCTTGAATTCTCCCTTCTCTAGCTTTGAATTGGTTTGGGTTAACTTTGATTGCTCTTATTCCCTTCAATTTTTGCAAGCCCCGTGAATTGCTCCTGCACTTGCCACCGGCTTCTCTCCCAAACTGCAGCTCGGTTTTGCTTGCTAAATTATGGTATGTGACAGCCCTTTTAAGGCTTAAATTAGCCATTTAGTTTGCTGGCTGTGTTGTCCGAATTATGCTAGAAAATGGGGATGAAATTGATAGTAATTAGACCATGATTTAGCTTGATTCAAGTGGAATTTATATGATTGAGTGTTAATGGACTGCTATGTGATTTTTTTGGAGAGAAAACCCGTGATTAGCTAGTGTTTTGGCCAATTTGTGGAAGTGGAGTTACTGTTCACGTCGAGGTACTGTTCACCGGTTACTGTTCACACCCTGAGGGCCAACATTTAACGAGAATTTAAATGATTAGTTTGTGATATGAGAACGAATTTGGAGATGTCCGATCATGTGGAAAGTGATAGAAATAGCATTGTGATTAGGAATGATCCTAATGATGATTTCAGCTTGAATTTGTGATAGTCTGATATTAATTATGAGGTGTTTTGATTAGGTTCCTGATCGTCCTGTCAATTTAGTACGTGAATTGAGTGCTCGGTTTTATGCGAGTGAGGTAAGTAAATTTATGGTAATGCCCATACTGTTTTAAAAGCATGTTTTGATTTGTTTTTGAAGTGGTGGCGGGACTAAGCCCGTTTTACAGAAGTATAACTGATTTGAAGTGAAATGTTTTATACTTTTCATTAAATTGAGCATGCCTACTTGAAATTTAAGTGACCGTCCTGATGATCTGAAAGTGATTGTGAATTATGATTTGCCTGTTAACTTCTACCTGTTTTGTCTCTGATATGGTCATGTTATTCATGTGCCCGCTAGTGGGAGGTTTATAAACGCTAGCACATGTCGACATGTTAGTGAAAGAGCCAGTTCATTCAACCCTGCTAGTGGGGGTTATACACCAGCAAATCGTGTGTCCACCAGTGGGAGGTTTATAAACGCTGGCCATGACCTATAGAGGAGACGTCTATTTCGTGCCCGTACTGTATCTGTTTTCGTGATTGTACTTGTTGGCATGCTATAAGTTTAATAATGGGCACTCCATATTTACTTACTGAGTTTATCTCATAGTTTTCCTTGTCCACCATTTCAGGAAGTGAAACCGAGGACGGGGAAACCACGGGAAGTGACGAGTTAGAAAGCTAGCCATTTCGAGATTGATATAGATTCTAGAAATCATGATCTTGTAAGCTAGAGTGTATTTGGAGACTTATGATATTAGAGCAAATTATGAAATTTGATCTTCAGATTTTGATGGTATCAGATTGTGGTGTGATAAGTTTCGAGCCTTGTGCATTTGTGGGACCCGTCTCACGAGTGCACGGCGTCTACCACGTCCCCGAATTTGGGTTCTGGGGTGTGACAGAATGACTTGGGAGGAGGGAATAGTGTAAGGATAGGCTAAGGACAAGTATGAGACCAATAATCTCAAACGTACTATACATATTGTGAAATCCAATCCTTTACTTGCTGACCTCGATCACTCGATAGTCGAGGGTGAAGTCTAAATTTATTTCTTCCCAGTTGTATGATAACTACTATGAGCATGCCCTTACCCAATCCACTATTTGAGATCATCGTTCTATTAGACACGCCAAGATCTAATTATCTCGTTAAGCAAGCCACGTGGACACCTCATTAAAGCCTATAAATACCTCCATAGGTCACCTCAAAAAGGTAATTAAAACCAACTTAAAGCTTATTTTATAGTCTCTTCTTAATGTAGACTAGATTATTACTGACTTAAGTATCAAAGTGTTTAACCCAAGGACCCACCTTGGGGCTTTGTAGGTCAATCTGAAGAGAAGATTTGGACTGAAGGAGACTTATTAGTTCGTTGCAATTACACTTTCAAGTTTATTTACTATCTTTTACTTTTATTTCAATTTAGTTTGATCTGTTAACTTTTTAACAATAGTTTTACTCCATTTAATCAAAATAATCTTCAACTGTATCTTTTGTGAATTTTTACTCCTTGAAATTATTTTTGAAATAAAACTAATTTTATGAGAATAATAAGTTTCTTTTCACCGTTTGAAAAAAACTGTAACATTTATTACATATTGCTTTAGTTTTCTCTTTTAACATTTGTCCTTTGTAGTAGAAACTACAATTATTGGCATGTTTTAATAGCTTGCATAGTTTGTCATGGATTGTTTTGTTGCTTGGGCCTACTTTGTTTTAATTTTGATTTAACTTTTCTATTTTTTTTTTTGTTAAAACTAATGAAAATTTTGAGCAATAGAGCATTTTGAAATATTTTATAAAGTGTATAGACTATTTAGAAAGAAAACTAACTTTTTAGACTAAAATAAAATTAAACTAATAGTTAATAGATCAATCATTGAATTAAGCCTTCTTTTTTTTGTACAAAGGGTAATGTTTGTATTACATTGAAAATCTTTATCTTAAGGCACAAGGCTGCAAACACCTATCATGTCTTCAAGCCATGTTCCCAAACTAGGTCAGGTGGCTTCTCAAAAATGTAAAAACCTCTCCTTGGTAAAATTGTTAAGCCATGGCATTAGCACAATTTTTTCTCTTGAAGCACATGTCATATCTCATATATCCATTCCCTTTGCATGAATTTCTTACAATTCTTAGTTAATGTTGTTAATGTGTTGTATGAATCCCGTTGCTCCATAACTTTTGCATAGCTAAGCGAAATTCATCTCAATGATGATGCGTCTAAACCCTTAACCTAGCTTAAAGCCCTTCATATTTATTTACATGACATTTTTATTTATCTACATACTATAAATATAATATATATATATAATTACCATGTCATAAAAAAAGTCAAATGAAATTATTTAATTGTCACCTCATATTTAACTGATGGAAGGACTAAAATTATGTAATTTTTAGAATTAAAAAATAAAAAATGAAAAAAAATAATTTAAGACAAAAAAAATGCAAATTTATAAAGTTGAGGTACCAAATTTAGTATTTAACCTTTTTTTTTTAATTTTCCACGCGAGAAAAGATGACATGGAGGGTGTAATTAAATCCATGTAAGCATCTTTGACATGTTGGCATATCCACATCAGCCGTTCCAGTTAAGTTAACATGCCACGCCAGCAAAAATTAACGGAAGGACCAAAAAGGGGCCGGATTTTAAAATTTAGGGATCAAAAAGGGGCTTTTTCCTATAGTAGAGGGACCAAAAAGGGTATTTAACCTTTATGGTTTCAGCATCAAATTCAAAAGTCTTCCTGAGAACCGTTGTTTTATACCCTCCATCCTCCGAGTCACTCAAATTTGCATAAAAAATCTTAATCAATTGCGGGTAAACTCTCACCTTTCTAGTTACTAATTCAGTCCATCCCATTGCATCTAACATTTCTCTTACATGCAGCCCCCCTTTGCATATATCTTCCAAAACTACTCTAAACCCATAAATGACATTCCTATTTTCTAAATTTCTATATATATCCATAGCATTTGCAGATACAAAGTTCCGAGGGTTATCGGGTTGAAATACCTGCTCGGTGTCTGTGCTTTCACCGCTCTCCTCAGGACTTTGCTCAGCCCTTCAACGCCTTCCAGAAGTGCTTGCCGCCTGCCCCCTTGGTTTCTTTACAACTCTTTTAGTCCTCACCATTTTGGGAGATAATGCACGATTCTTAGAGGAATGGGCCGAAAATGATGTGGGTTTGTGTTTGGGTGAGTTATTTTTGTGAAATTTGGGAGGATTTTGGCTGTTTTGAGGGTTAAGTTTCTCAGAGAGTCAAATAGAAGAGAGAGGGAAAATGGGGAAAACTGGAACTGTCACGCTTTTAATCAAATCCCGCGCCCAAGAGTCGACTATAACTTTTGAGAGTCGACTCTTTGAAGAACAACAGTCGACTCTAAGAAAGAATAGTCGACTTTGAAAGTGGAAGTGTCTAATTCCCTGCAGCAAGAAGAGTTGATTCTATGTAACTAAGAGTTGAATATGTATCGTTAAGAGTCGATTATTTAGTAAAGAGTTGACTCTGTGCTGGACCAAATTGTTTCGCTGCTCTCTGGAATTTGGAAGTCAACTCTTGTCATGGTATAGTCGACTCTAGTGCCTAGAAGAGTCGAATTTGAATTCATATAGTCGACTCTTTATTGTAATTCACAATAATTTTAAATTTTTCGTTTGAAGAGTCGAATATATAACTTCGTTTATAACCCTATAATTATATTTATTACCTTCATAATATCATATAAATGACCCTTAATATCACATAACTTCCTTTTTTACTATAGCAATTAACTTTTCCCTCTCCTCCATTATTCTAGCAACCGTTTTCCTCCATTAATCTCCCTCACCCCCATTACTTGAGTAACTGTTCTCCATTATCTCCCTCTCCTCCAATCATTTCCTCCCTTTTTCCTTTTATTTTATTATTATCATTGTTTTTGTGTCTACTTCGCACCCCAACTCAGATTTTTTTTGCACTCTCCTCCCATCTTTTTCTTTGGGTTCATGATCGTGAACCCAGATTTGAGTTTGTGTTGATGAAACCAACTCGATCTGGCTTCACAAACCCAGATTTGGGTCTGTCTTCATGAACACAAACCCAGATTTGGGTCTGTCTTCATGAACACAAACCCAGATCTGGGTTTCTGTTCATGAACAAATATCAGCAACTTCACCTTAATGCATTTTTTGGGTTTGTGTTCATGAAGCTTCCTTTCTCTTCTTCCTCAAAACAACCCCTTTCCTCCATCATACATGTTTAGAATTTGAAATGAAAAGGGAAAAGAACATTCAGTTGGAAATATGGTTCCATAATTAACAGCAAATTAGATGTGGTTGAAAAATCCAGATTTTATGAATTAATTGTGAATTTTCATTTTAATATTTTTTTATAGGTAAATTTTACTTGAATTCTTGTACATTGAGAAATGTTGTTCAAGAAATTTTTATTTATTTAATAGTAGAGTATTTTTTAATAATGAAATGTATATAATAAGGAAATATAAATAATTAAACTTTGATTGGACTTAATTGCAAGATAATTGATTTGATTTCAAATGTAATTTGGCCTTAGATTGAATTTTTTTTTTCTTTTTTTCTTCTTTCTGTTTTCTTTTTCTTTCTTGATTAGTTTTTTTTTTTTTTTCTGTTTTTATTCTTAATTTATTTTAGTTTTATTTTTTACTTTTTGTTAGGATATTAGTGCATGACCCGTAATAGTGGTGGTGATCTTGTTCCATTTGATCCAGAAATTGAGAGAACTTTTAGGGAGTTTTTAAGAGAGCAAAAGCAAAACATCATGGCAGAAGAAGGTGAAGGACAAAATAAT